GAAAGTGGGAAAGATGCTCCATCATAAAGGTTAGGATGTGGTTACAAATCACTGGCGAAGGACTGGAAAGCTACGCAAATAGAAGTAAAAGAAATAGAATACAATAAGACTTCTGTCTGAGACAAAAAGAAATAGGAAAGGCTGATAAGGACATGACAAGAAGTGACAACAGACAGAGCGGAAGATGACTGCAACAGAGGGAGCGACTTTGGAAACATATGATTGGCTACTAGTGCCAAATTCGAGCACGCAAACACACACACACACACACTTTCTCGCTCACCGCCCTGTACAAACGCATCGGATAATTCTCCAAGCTTCACCAGCAGATTTCAGCCTGTTAACCTGCCTCGCCCTGCTTCACCCCATCTTACCCTGCCACATGGTCGCCCCGGGGGGGCATGAAACAAGAGCTGGAGACAGGAAAAGCAGAATGTTGATGGGAAATATTGAAAAGAGACAAGATAAAAAAAACAGAAAGTCAAAGAGGGAGGAAAAAAAAGGAAAAAGGTAGAGGAGGAGAGAGAACGCAAACAGTTTCTTTAGAGGAAGTCATGAAGTGTTGCTCTGATCAGCGAGATAGAAATTAAATATACAGTTCTTTGGCAGCACAGGGAGCGCGTTGGGGGGTAAATAGGAGAAGGAAATAAAGGTGCATGAGGGGGGAAAGGGGAGGAGGAGGATGGCGTGTAGTAAATTACGGAGGGAAGGAGAGCAATAGGAAGGAATAGCAGGGTGGTGAATGTGATGGAGCTGGATTGTGAAGCATCAAACAAAGATAATAAGAGAATCCGCTGAAGGCATGAGGCAAACTCAGTAATTATATAGAAAGAGCAGCCTGCCTTAATTAGAACAGGATGGAGCTCATGAGTGTGAGAGAGACACATGCAAAAAACCCCACACATAATTACACATGTACATCAAACACACCATTTCTGAGGTAATATATTACGTAATTTTTTTGCCTCCTGGTCTGTTCCTGTTGACGGCTATCCATAATGAGACCGAAGAACATATGTGTGCTCCTCACAACGCGTGTCTGACTTGTGAATGCACACAGGGTCAAGATGTACACATCCAAGTCGTCCTACCGCTCTGGTTTTTAAACTCGCTCTCCTTTTTTGGCCTTTTATGTATTTCATGAGGAAGCTAAGTGGACATAAGCTCTAAATTCTTCGTATTTACACTCATCTTCACAAGCAGCAGCAGTCTTGCGGTCCTCTGAGCAACAGCGGATTAGTTGCATGACCTAAATCTTAAACACCAGGATCTCCTCTTTTCATCCTAGAGATACTTGGTAGTAACTCAGTTGTAAGAGACGACTTCAACACCACACACATTTTTGTCTTTTTTAGGTTTTCTATAATTACACATTCATTCAGTTTTGATGCAGAAAGCCGTCGAACTGGAGAGATGAAAGCCAGACGAGAGCCACCGCATGGCTGGACACATAACAAATTTGCTCTTTTGCTGAGTTTTTTTGTTGTTGTTAAATTAAGTTAAATGTCCTTTAATACCTACACTTCAAACTTTATAAAAAGAATTATGACAGCAGTTGCCATAATCCGAAGTAATCCAGCATTCCTTAAATCTTCTGTGACCCTTACAGAGGATGCGGTAATAATCCTCTTCCCTACTGCACTGCACTATCTGTTTACACCATTATCAGTAGCTTCTCACTGGCTCTTCGATATTATTGACCGGGACTGAGACACTTAGTGCATTTTCACTCACTCAGTTAAACAATTACGCTCAGGAGTAAATAAGACATAGAACCTGTGAACACTGTATGCAAACGTACACGGGAATCAGTTGAAGATCACAGCTTTGTTGTGTTTGTTGCGATTTACTGCTTAGCATTCTTTTTTTGTTGTACTTCACAGCAGCTACTCATTCATATTCTTGAAGGACATGTGCATGAGGATGATTGCGACACATATATAAACTCAAATGTCTTTGCGCACAAAACATTTCTGTAATCTCACTATCCATTTTTATGAGGTGCACGTGGAGACCCGATGTCTTTCTCCGACACACAAAATGAAATTTTAAAAAAAAAAAAGTGTGTGTGTGTGTGTCTGCTGTGAGATGTGTCCTTAGTATAAGTGTGTATGAGCAGTCCCAGCGCAATTCCTCAGTTTAGTGGAGCATTACAGCTGATCAATAGCTCTGGTGCAGTGGGAGATGTCTGGGCTTTGGCTGCATATTCATACCATTACAGCTGAAGTGAGGAAAGAGGCACTACAGGGAACGTGTGTGTGTGTGTGTGTGTGTGTGTGTCAGCAGACCACTCTCATGGATAATGACATTCTCTATCACCTAGTGGACCACACAGTTACTTGCTAAACTGCACCCAGTCAAGGTTGAGCACCGATAGAAGCAGTCTAAAACGTCTCTCTCTCTCTGAGTCTCTGTGGACTCGCTGGCTTTTCTGTGCCATCACTGAGACTCACTGTCCTTGTCTACTTGCTCTTTTGGCAAGATGCCTGACATGTTCTATTCTCCCTTTACTCCTTCTTTTCCTTTAAAATGTTACTTTTTTTTGTTGGTTTCCTGTCACTGCTTTCTCTCTTCATCCATCTGCGCAGTGCTTCCCCGTACCACATTGTTATTCTCCTCCAAGTTTCTCTGTTGGTTTGTACATCAGTCAGATTCTTCTGTCCGCGGCGAAGATTTTATTGTCGAAAAAGCATTGTCAGTAATTACAAAAAGCAGGACAAGCAACACATACTTTATTTGCACACGGCCCAACTGCCAATATCATTAAACAATTCTCAGCTCCAACTGTCAAACCGTTACTGCAGAACCAGAAAATGTGCAACGCAGCCAAAGTTCTGCACGACTTATCACCAACTTTACTATTAATACTATTTATACTGGATTTTTTTTCCTTAACTATTGGTTCCTCTCAACAGCTAGGTGTTTTGCAGAACTATTGTTGGCAGAAACTTCATAAAGTTAATATTGTTACGGCCCATCATTTACAATGACAGACAAGATAGGTGATGAATTACCATATCGGTTGTTAGATCCCACTAAATGAAAGCATTCCAAAAGCGGCATATGGTACAATCATACCAAAAAATGTTAAGGTTAAGACAATATTATGTCCCTGCTATGACTTAGATGAGAAAACAGCAGTCTTCACTGGAAGATCATGCGATGTACAAGTCCACAGGTAATGCACAAGGTCATCGACATCCCGAGGTGTCTGAGGGAGAACACTTACTGCAAACGACCCCGAACGTGATGGGTTTCATGGCCACGGCAACAAAAATTGTTGCTCACCTGACTTCTTCCCCAAAATGAAAGTATAGTTAAAGGCATGCTGCTTTGACACAGCAAAGAAGACGTGCAGAGGGAAGTGGTCAGAATGAGACTTCAAGGAAATGACCTGAAAACAGCAGGAGTGCTGAGAGCTGTGCAGAGCTTCAGACAGAGACAACCTTGAAGTGGACAGCAGGCAAACTGAATCCAAGTAAGGTTTTGACTTTTTATGGATAGACTCACTGAGCCTTTTAGCTATGTTGCGGTTTCTTATATATTTTAGTTAGTAGCACAATGAGCTTCACTTTGGAATACAAACACGCTGATGTAAATTACTATTGTTAATCAAATACACAGAATCAATACATTTTTAATAAAAAACCACTGCAGGGATCAATATGAGATCACCGCACCAAGTTCAACAGTCTAAATTACTGTCCCATGACTGCACATTACAGTCTAGTCAAGTGACTCCAACACCCACATCACATTGCACAATAATTCAAGATGGGGTGTGAAAACTAACAGCGAGAGTCAGGCGTTCAAACTGCTGCTATTATATGAGCAATTGTGACAAAAGATCGCAATACTGTCCGTTTCAGTTTACGTCAGAAAGCAACACATCAAACCACCCGCTAGCTTACTAATGGCAGCACTTCGTGTAGGTGTGTCTGTGTGTTAATCGGGACATTTATGCCTCATGAAAGAAAGATGTGTTGTCAAGCTTGGGACACGGCCTTCTGAAGAAACAGTACACAAAGTCATTGTGTTCACATTCACACACACCAGGCTCTTCACACTTCTCATACTCACGGTACACACACCATGCCTCACATGCCAATATGTGTGACAACGTTTGGACATAAACACGAAATATTTTAACATCTCTGACAAGTCAAGATCCTCGCAATCGATGGCACTGTCGCTATAGAACAAAAGGAGGCACAGTTTGAAAATGAATGAGAAAGGTGTCTTTGTACTTCTATTGTCTGCCCTCTAAAAACATGACCACTGCGGATCGTTCTTCTTGTCTAAACACTCGTTAACATTGATTTCTCCTTTCTGTCCTTGCTCACCTGCACTTATTCCCTTTCCCTCGTTCACTCTTACAGTATCTGCTGTATCTCTGTGTGTGTCTCAATACAGATCAGCCTTGCTTTTCTCATCTTCTAATGCCATTAATCTCTTCTTTTATTCTGCCCAACTTCATCGCCCTCACAAACTCCTCTCCTTTTTTCTTATTTTCACTGCAAAAATCCTCATTCTGTTAACTCACTTCAAGTCTCTTGTTGAATATTACTTACTCTAAAGGTAATGTCAATTTCAGAGTCTTTTTAACTGAATATATCTTCAACAGAACTATACGGCTTTATAATATTTGTAGCTGCTAGCAATATCTGCCTGAACCTCCAATGGAATTTGGAATTTGGATTGGCTCTAATGCAAGTGGCACTGCCATTTAACACGTGAAAAAAATGCCAATTTCACTTAGTTTGCATACAAATCATCAATTTTGATTGCAATGCAATTATTTGCTGTATTTTGTATGTGCTATTCAATACACTGACACCGGTTTCTAGCAAAAATTCAAACCAAGTTGTGTTTAAAAAAAAAATAAAAAAAATTCACACACAGTTTTTGTTTTTTTCCTGTTGTGTTCCTGCTCGCTGTTAGTCCAGAGCATTCTATCAAAGAGCTAAAACACATGAAAACATTGCTAATTCTTTCTTTTCTTTATTCAGTATTCTGGATTTGTTGCTTTAGTTCATTTCCGACACAACTCCTTTCTCGTTGCTTGTATTTGCTGCATTCTTATTCGTGTATCCACACATCCCACTATCTGATTTTCCATTCCCTACCTTCACAGCTGCTGTGTCCCTCCTCGTAGCCGGCGCTGCAGCTGCACTTCCCAATAGGCACCAGCCATTCACCTTCGGCACTACAATGCATCCTGGGAGGGCTGTCTGTGTCAACTTCAGAGTTGTTAACACAGGTGCCGCGCACCTCTACAAGCGTGGCAAACGCTGCCTCGGCCACTGTATCGGGGAACACTGCCAGGTTCTGGACGGTTGCGAGACAGCGTTTGTAGTAAACCCGCACAGCCACCAGTGCCACGCAGGCACCGACATCCTGGAATGCCAGGTGGAACCCTTTACGATTGAGGTGGCCGATCTCGCGCACCTCTGTGTTCAGCTTCATCTTCCTCTCACCAAGATCACCCTGCGTGAAGCTCTCATCAGCAGCAATGGTATCTATCTTGGTATAGCGGTCCTCTCGCGTCACACCTCCAAGGTCCCTGTCTGACTCGACATACAGGAGGTTGAAGGTCTCCTTGCAGGTGCCTGCTACACCAGGGATGCTGTTGCAGTCACGCAGAGTGAACTGGAGCTCCACAAAAATGCGCTGTCCACCTCGACGTGCCACCCAGCCCGTCTGCAGCCAGTTGTTCTGCTGCGTGGGCTCCATCACATTGCACACCTGGTATGTCCGAATGGGCTTATACTTCTCATCTACGCCGCTTATTTCCTCCCACTGTAGGGATAAAGATTTGGGCAGAGGGGAAAAAAAGACAAAAAACTTTTAAATGTGAGGTATAGAAAAAAGAAAATCAAGAAAAGGAATATGGGAATGGAAAGAGACATACTGCATTTTACAAACCATGAATAAGCAGCAAGGAGCTTAGTAATAACATGAAGGACTGACAAGAAGAAAAAAAAACAGCAAGAAACAGATGATAAAAATGTTAAATGACAGCAGAAAGAATAGATATGCAAACAGGAGTGAGTAAGTTCAGGTTAACAGTGTAATGACATAATCTGATGAGTGGGTGTTTGAAATAAAAATCATTGGTTCTCAGATTGTCTAATAGTGTCACACAATGACATAATGAACAGACTCAGTCATCGTGAGTCTTAAGTGGTGTTTCTGCAACTGTGGGTCAGACCTCAGTCACTTTCTTTCGATCTCAGACTGCTTGGCACTTAAACTAATGGCATTTGTGTTCAATGTTTGTATAAACCAGGGGTCGGCAACCCTAGGCACGCGTGCCACAGTTGGCATGCGAAGGGTTAACTGATGGCACGACCATAGCTGGACTGGCCATCGGGCATACTGGGCATTTGACTTTTTTTTCTTTGTAACGGTATAAACAATGAAAGGTGGTGGATTGGCCAGATGCTGGTCGGTGTGTAAAAATAACTCAGTTGTTTGGTGGTGGCTGTGGCGGAGCTTCCACAGATTCAGTAATCTGTGGTGGAGGCCAGCAGGTGGATGAGAGAAAGGGGAGGCAAGAGGAGAGACCCGAGGCGGCCGCCGGTCCGAGTGTCAGGTGAACTGAACTTCAGGTAAGAAGTTATGACCTGCAGTCTATCTGGGTCAGATATGAACCAAGTTTAGGTGGAGTTTATTTTTGTTGTGCTGACTTTTTACAATCAGTTACAATAACTCGTACTGCGTGCTAGCTAGCATGACGGAGTTTCTATACAGCTGGGTGGTTGCTACTTCAATCATGAAACTGATCAATGATCAGCTGATCGGCTTTTTTCTCGTTTGTTTATCGCCCACTTTGCGCCAGAAAGAGGAAACCGCCGAATGTTGCGCTAAACAACAGCAGCACGTTTAAGCTTGATCAGCTGTTGTTAGAATGTATTTAATATTACTTTCTAGTAGCTGATGTTTGCTGGAGCCACAGCTGTAAAAGCTGCTGGTCATGATATCGGTGTGTATATCTGGTGAAAGGGAAACATGAAGATGAAACCAGGAGATGTCCTTACTGAATCATCAGAGCTGAACAGGTGATGGAGAAACAGGTTTGCCTTTTAGGTGACATGAATGAGTTGAAGGGAAGTTATGAACTGTTCCTGAGAAACAAATAACACCAGGATCCTTTTTTTATGTAGCTGACAGCTGGTAAATGTGCAGGGGCGGGTCTAGCAAAGTTTTGCCAGGTGGCCAGGTAGGACATTAACAGGGAAAGGGGGGCACAAAGAAATACTTTCTTATTCTCATTTAAAATGTCTAGCTTTTAATAAATAATTCTCTGAAGCTTATGATAGATGTATGATGTATGATAAAAATCATACATATCGAAGCAGCTGGAATCCATAGCTGTGCGTGTTCATGGAGCTTGCATTTTCACCTGCTGGACATCACTACCTGACAAGTTTAACTGTCTTCAAAACATTGCAGAGGCCTTATTGACAGTATTTGGCTCTACATATCTGTGCGAGCAGATTTTCTCTCACATGAGTCTCCTCAGGTAGCCGTCTGAATGCTGGACACTCGGAGACCTGTATCTCTGAGTGGGAGACCAGAGATCACATTAACATGTGTGTCTCTGTATTAACAGACATGCCATATTGGCCCAGTTTATTTTTCTTATCATTGTTGTGAGGAGACCATAAATAGCTTTTGTATTTTCTGTTGTACAGTTCATTTGCTGTCATGGATAAAAAGTGTCCTTTTTTTTTGGTTTCAAAATAGCTGATAACTATTCGCTGATTGCTGCCAACATCTGCGAACAAATATAATTCTATAAAGTGGTTCTATATAGTGTGTAACCATTAATATAGAGCGTTATTAAATTTATCGCTAATGCAATCATATGGCACACTGACCTCTGAGGAAATTTTAAATGGCACTCGTCATCAGAAAGGTTGCCTACCCCTGGTATAAACGCTTCATCCCACAGTCTTGTGATTTATTCACAAGAAACGAATTGAGAAAAAAAGACACAGCAGGCTTAATTAAAGGGCTTTGTTAGTTGGCCTTCAGCCTACAGATAGTTTTTATTTATTTATTTATTTTTTGCAGCTTTGGTGTAGCCTAAAATATTGATACTATATCGGTACTGACAGAGATTCTCTGTTCTAAAGAACTCTCTGCACCTTGCTGAATAGATTAAGAGTGTTTTTTGTCTAAATATTGATCCAAATAATTGATAATTACTGGCCTGTTTGCTAACAAAAGATTATTATTAGTAGTTGTTGCTTTAGAAGAAGTGGTAGTAGTAAAAAGAAATCTGGTGTATGTGCACACCCTATTTCAGCCATTGGGACGGAGTCACAAGTATTCTCTTCAAGGTGAGGAAGCACTGAATAATATAGCATTTTATTTATCTTTTAAATGTATTTTATTTTTGAGGAATTAAAAGTTTAAACTCCTCTGAGCACTCTAAGAATGCTTTTTATAGTTTCCTAATATTTGCCGTAGGGCAGAGTTTGTTTTTCTGATTTACTTTCAGTCTGGAAGAGCGAGAAAAACGTAATCAAATATATAATTTATCCATCAGATGAATGATTATGACTCCATGTCACTATTTGAATTACCGAGGCGCTCTTGACAGAATTGAAAGTGAACTGAGCAGCAAATATGAACTGCTCTCCCTCTCTCATAAATACACAAACGTGCACAAAGCAAAAGAGTAGAAATGGATTATCTCCAATGGTAATGTGATCAGCCCCTCTCCTGTCAAGGTGACTATATCAAAGTGGGTGCAGTGTGTTCTCTATCACTTCTACTGGGACATGTAGGTGAATCACACAGTCACATTAATCTTATGCATAGTGGAGCACGTAGTGCAGCAGTCATCTCAAACACAAGTGCTTCAGCAACCTCTATCCTAAACAATGCACATTTAAAAGCAGTGATGTTATTCATATAATAGACTTATCAAGTGTGTGTGCATGGAAAGGCCAACTTGCAGGTGACACGTGGGTGACAAACTGCTCTGGCAAAAGTGCTCCTGCATTTATCTTGCAGTCATAACTTAGTGCAAAGGGTTTTACAGACGAAATCGATCGTCACAAAAGGCCATTTATCTGTGGCAGCACATCTGTGTAGCTGCTTTGGACACTGCTATATAGTAGCCTGGATTAGTCCCAATGATTAATGATAATGATGAGCTCAGCACTGGGGACAAATTGAAGAAAAGGTGTGGAAAAGTAAAGTAACAAGCTGTGTGGAGGCTGGCAAGTAAACACATGCGTCTACAAATGAAAAAAATGACATGCAGGTAATGAAAAATGCAACTATACTTACTCCATTAGGGGGATAGGACGTCCAGCCGAGCTCTGCTTGAGTCTCTTTAGAATTCAGCAGCACCACTGCAGGAAATTACAAAAAAAGGGGGGAAGACAGACATGAGTTAGACGACATGTGGCATTAGAGCGTATTTGCCTTTATTTTTAAATACATTTCCCAACAGTGTACCTCACCTGCATGATAACAAAACTTAATTAACACTAACTCAAGCAAATAATAGTATTAAATTAGTCATTTACAGTATATTTGCATAATAGTTCAGTTTTATTTGGCTTCTGAAAGTGCTTGGAGTAAATATGAATAACACAAAGTGCAAAATGACACGTCAGGTTTGGAATAATGAAAGAAAGGCATTAACACTGAGAAAGGTTTGACAAAATCTGTTGAGAGTGAACCTGTCCTTTGATAAATGCATTAACACCATCTGTTGAGGATTTAAGCTGGACAAAGCGCTTTCCTTTAGCCCCTGGCTTCACACACAACACACAGAAAACCACAAACAAAACAAAACAGAACCATAGAACTTTTACAAAGAGTCGGGAGAAAAAGAGCACCCTTATTTAGCTTTCAAGAGTGGAAAACAGGAAATGCAGTTTCTTTTCAGCACAGAGAGAC